TGAACGCCTCGAAATGGAAATATATAAGTCACACGGCTGCAACAGGGTCTGGAGACACTCACATACTTCGGACAACCGGTACTGCCAAGACCAGTATACTCAATGGCAACATGAGCACAGAGGCTCGTACATTGGCCAAGTTGTTCTGGCTTGTCACTTGGTTAGTCGGCTGGCGAGCGGCTGTTTAGGCTCTGCAGCTAGCTGGGTAGATGGATTACAAACACGGTTTTCTATGTCGTCAACACTAAACACCGTTCTGTACAATGACCACGAGTTCTACCGCTGACATTTGGAAGTATCCGCGTGGAGTATACATTGTGATAACTACTAACTAAAGCACTAAGGCACTGTGTTTCTGTTTTTGAGGTCACCCTTCCCGCGAAGGTCTTACAGATATTATCGGGTGAAAGGTTGTTCTTTTCAGGTTTTACACCACCCCTAGAAACATGTTGACCCCGTGCCAGGGGGAGATACGGCATTGTAACTTCATGGTTGCACCCACCCTGGTTTGAAGCCAAAGCCGTAAGCCATTCACGTGTCTTCCGTCTGACACTACTTCGCATTTTTCTCATCCCAAGGAATCTAGCAAAGGTCTTGCAATGAACAGACTTGATAGTGCCTTATACATAACCCCCACTTTACTGATACTACAAAACCTCCCAACACCCAGTCGAAGTATCAAGCTTTGGGGCAGTGTACCGAACCCCGAGGCCCTCAAATCATGCAAGCCCTCGCCGTGCAGCGCTCTAGGTTTAGGGTTTAGGTTCCTTCTTGCAAAGCCGGCATTAACGGTTTTGTAGTGTTGAGGGTTGCGGGTTTCGGGATTCGGTAGACTTTAGCAAGCCTGTGGCCCTGCACCCCTAATGCGAAGTGTCGCAACCCAGAGCCCGAAAGTGTTAAGTCAAGCTGCCTAGCTGATTCCACGTGAGCCCTACACCTACCGCTAAACCCTATGCGCTCCAAACCCTTACTTTCCAAACCCGACACTAGCCTACCAAAGCCTGATTTTGTTTTGTAGGTCCCCTACAGTTTTAATATGAGAGTTTATGTTAGGGCCCTACAAAAAAGCTAGGTGATGTTTGGTACGGGGAGTCGGATTCATGGGCGACGCAGCCAGGTCTTCGAGATTCGGCTCTCACCGTTCGAAAGACGGAGCTCAGGTGCAGTCAACTTCGGGGTTTAGAAAACCGAGGTTCTGGGTTAATAAGGTTCAGAAGTGTAGGGTTTAGGAGTTGAAAGCGCTTTAGGGTATAGTATAGGTTAGTTCAGGGTTTGGGATGAGAAGAGTGTTGGGGGGGTTAGGGTTGAGGCTTTTGGGGTCAAGTACTTTGCGTTTGTAGTCTTGGGGCTAGGGATTTCATGTTTAGGTCGTGTGCTTAGGGGCTTAAGTGGTGTACTGGCGTGGGGCTTCAGCGCATACGATGTGACATACCTAGACGAAGAGAAGTGGAGGGCTCCTTACAACTTATACCATAGGATAGGTTTGAAAGCTCCAGCAAAACATAGACCCAGTACGTATGATGGTGGATTCAAGATCACCTAAGCCGAACTTCAATGCTTGCGAACTTTAGCGGCCCTCTAAGGGTTCAGGCAGCTTGCTACATCTAGTAACTACGTGAGGTGCTAGCCCACATTAGGTGTTGGAAAGTTTTTGTTTTCCAATGCCGGCCTTCCTGAAAGAAAGCCACCACCAGCCTCAAGAACATTTCCTTTCCTGCATGCTCCAGGATTCCTTTCTTTATGCGGTTGTGCGTTCACCAAACCCTAAACCCTAAACC